TGTCTGGTTTGTTGTATCTGTTGTAAAGTATTGTGAGTATTATGAGTTTGAAGAGATGTAATATTGTTATTCTTTTTTCAGTTTGAGAGATCAATGCAGTATGGTTTCCATATTTGGTTGTAAATTTGATCATTAATATCAAGAAGTGTTTGAATAATAATTTGCAAGGCTATCTTAGTTGGTATATTGTAGTTATGGATTGTTTCAGTTAAAGCTTTAGGTATAAGGCCTTTAAGAGTAAGATCTAGGTAGAAAGAGTTTGCTTGAAATGGTATTCGGTCAAAGGAAGGGTGTTTTTAAACATAATATTAGTATTGTTATCAATACACAATATAAAGATTCATATAAAAATTATAACTAACACTATTCTTGCCTTTAAGAACAGATTACCTAATTATGTTCAACACCTTCACAAAGCTTATAATATAATTAGCATTTTGTCTTTTTTGATAGCTTATCTGCATACCTAATTCTGTCTGTTTTTTTTGGTCAACCTTTTGCCTGATGTTTTTGAAAATTATCAACTTGCTTAGATTTAACTTTTCTTTAATATTACTATCAGTTTTAAACTTATTATTTGAAATTACATTACTATCAAATAATAGCCCTTAACAATCATTTAAATATTTATCAAGTATAGCAATAAAATTATAATTATGTCTTTGAACAGCTACCATTAAAGCTGCTTTTGCTTTGCCTATGCCTCTTTATATAGTTAATGCTTATTTATTATTTTATGATTTATATTATGCATATCTTGAACTTGAATCAACACATTAAGATAAGAAACTAAACTATTCCAACCTATTATTACTGCTTGACTCATTTCAAATTTTGGTGCAACTAAAAATAATTCTTGAACTGAATGATAACTTGCTTCATTGTTATTATACTATTGTAATCTTATCAGCTGAATATGAAACATTGCAATTTGTAAATACAGTATTACCTGAAAGAAATGTTAACAAATAATTTCACAATTACAGTGATTAAAACAAGAACATAAATGAGTTCTATTATTTAAAAGCACTACAAAGTATCATATATCATTGAATATTACTCGTCAAACCCTTCACATTTCCACGATCTTACTATTATCAATAAGACTAAGTATTGATTTGATCATAATATTAGTAAATCTTGGGTTTTCACTAAATAAGATAGGATTATTAAGATTAATCTAAATTTACAAACATTTAACATTAATAAAAAAATATATTAGTTAGTAGAATTCAAAAAAATGATCAACAACTATTGTTAAAATTTCTTTTTTAAAGTTTGTTTGTTTATATATTGATCTATATACTGCATTAATATTGTCCCCTTTTTACATATATAGCAGATTTCTCTTGTAAAACAATTACATCTTTAATTACCTTAAGATATCTTCTCAGTTCAGTTTTTGATACCATTACAGCATGATACTGAAGTGCCTGCTTTATTTGATCTTTCTGGATCTTTAACATTTCTATTGTAAGATATTTGCATAACATATTACAAACATTTGAAAGAATAGTATTAGCAGTCACAACTAAAATAGCTTTGAGAATTAATGCATGAAATAAAGCATATTTAATCTTCTTGTCCTTTTCAAGAATGCATACTGATAATTTTTTGGCAAGTTTTAATAGTGTTGTATTTGAATTAAATATTAACTTTTTGATTTTAGAATTGTAACTCTCAACCCAAAAAGTTGACAACATCCTCACAATAAATAATTTAAACATAAATGCTTTTGCTTATGATTCTTTGTTAACATAAAGTACCTATTGTAAATAATTAATTATATTTTTATTATTATATTTTTTGATTAAACATTTCTATTTGTATTCAAATATTGTAATAAAAATACTTTGCTGCACTTTAAAAAAATCTTTAATAAACTCATCATAATGGTTTTTGAAACTATTTTTCAAATTAAAAAAAAGATTTTAAGTGATATGAAATATGCAATGAAGAGCATTTGTTGTTGGAAATTTATTATGTATTGCAGCAGTCAAAGCAGGGTTAGTATTAGTAAAAATGATATGTGAAATAGCTTCAGATGTTACCTTTTTAATTTGTTGCAATATCCAACTGTGCACCTTTTTTGTTTCATCAACTGTCAATGTCTGAGTCACTAATCAAGAAGACAAATAATTATTAACTACCAAAAAAAGCAATAGTGCTATTCTATAATAGTTTGTAGCTGCAGTATTATTGTTTAAAATTATATCATCATACTTTAACCACTATTCAATTTGATCAGAACATATATAGAACAACTGATGAAGACATTTACTGTTATGGTTCCAATCTATCTCAACATATTATTAGAAGTCTATTTCTTTTTTTTTTAATAATTTTTCATACAAACAACTAGTATCATTTGTCTGGTTATGAGATTTTGGATGAAACTATTAAATTACCTGATGTAGCACTAGCATATAAATCTTTACAGAATATTTTTCCTTAAGAGCTTTGTGAATGTGTTAAGAACTACAATTTATTTTTGTTACAAAAAATTTAACCTTCTTAGCTATATTTATCATAAACTTCAAATTTTCTTAAAACTTATAACATGCTTGATCAAGACTATGGTTCTTATGCTCATCAATTAATTTTGTAACATATACAATCTTGTGAAAGTTATTTTTTTCTAGATAAGAAAAATTTATTTGCTATTTGCATTCAATATGTTTAGAAGTTGTTTCTTTCTCTATATTTTTACTTTTTGTTGACTCTGGCTGCCCATAGTGTTTACAAACTAATGTGCATCTTTTGATTGTACTATTTGATTTTTCAACATGATAATAACGAGTCTTAAATTCTTGTTTATCTATACTTTTCAATTTCTTTTATTGCATGATTCTAGTTATAGAATATTATATTTTCTTACAATTTTTCATCTTGAGTACCTTCATTTATTATTTGACATCATCTATATACCATATTATATTAAATATCTTCACAATTTATTATATCATTTTAAGAATTTTCACAATTTATTATATCATTTTGAGCACCTTCATAATTTATTATATTATGTTAAGCATCTTCACAATTTATTATTTTGTTGTTTTCATATTCAGTTTGATCATTAATATATAAAACATTGCTAACATCAAATTAACTTTGCTTATTATATAGGATATTATTTATGTCTTAAATATTTTTGCATAAAGCATTATCAGTAACAGAAAAATTATAAAGCACATTATTACTAACAGTAAATTCTTTAAATTCTTTCATTATTTAGTTATAAGTAGAATAAAGACCAAGTGTTAAGACAAAAGACCAAATATAAATAAGGCAAATCAAGTAACATAATGAAAAACTAGATGTGTAAAAAGTAATAAAACAAGAATTAGGTATAAAATGATAATTAGTATAGAATAATAGATTGATAGATTAGTGTAGAATAGATAAATGATAGATTAGTATAAAATAATAGATTAGTGTAAAATGATAAAGCAAATGATAGATTAATTGTAAGGAAAAATTTCAAATATGTTTAATTAAAATATGTCATCTAATATTAGAATTACATATTTAATGAATTATGTAAGAGTACATCATAATACTATATTTATTTTAACTTTATTTTTTATTTAATAAACAGATTAGCATTGTGGCACTATGGGGTAGTGATGCAGCACTATAGCATTATAATAATATTCCTATAATAAATAATGTAAAATTAAAATTTTAATTAAACTAACTTATATTTTCAATAATGATAGTCAATTTAAGATGTTGTTTATTTATATAAGATTTATTAAAGTTTAAAGAAAGGGTATAGATTAAATTCTGACAAACAAAATTCTAACAAATTATAATCTTGACAAAAAAATCCCAATAGTCAAAAATTTTAACAATTATAAATTCTGATAGCCAGAATTTTTAGATAGAAAACCCAAGTATAAGATATGTTTAAACTGAAATTGGCTTTTATAATTTAATTGATTTTAGAATTAGATCACTTTAGATAATAGTTGTAATAAGGTTTGTTATAGTCTATTATATTTTTTATTAAAGTTTTTAATTATTAAAATTTTAACTGTCAGAATTTTTGACTGTCAAGATTTTTAGCTATCAGAATTTTTTTGTTAGAATTATGACCTGTCAGAATTTTGTTTGTTAGAATTTTGATCTAAACCCTAAAGAAAAATATATATATATTAAATTAGATATAGATAAAGAATATTTGTTAAAATTAGCAGATGTAATTAATTATTTGTCTAAAATATAGCAAAGAATATTATATTATTACAAAGTAGATTTTAGTATAGTATATTATATAGTAGCATTAGTAGTTATATATATATATTCATTATTGTATTTTATATTATATTTATTATTAGTTATTAGTTATTAGTTAGTTGATAATTATATTATATATCTTTTTTTTCTAATTCAATTTATTCTAAAATTAACTCCTAGTATATACAATGGATTAAATATTAAACTAATCTTTCATATATAATTACTAACAACCAAATCTAGGTAAGCTTTGACCACTCTTGTTGGTTTAGGTTACAGATAAACTAGTCTGAGCTTCTACTTTTTTTTATAATATTTTTAATAGTAAATTTATACTTTACGTAAAAATTTCAAATAAATATTCAATAAAGATAGAGGCATGACCTTACTATTAATATTAAAAAAAAATAATAATTATATTATATAGTAAATAGATAAAAGGATCTTAATTGGCTATTAGAAATGTGATACAGCTATATGACACTAAGTAATATTTATAATGTTACTATCATCTTACAAATCTCAAATACTTTTGTACAAGTTTCATATATCTTAGCACCAAATTATTGTACTAAATGCTATAACACAAGAATTTTAAGTATTCTTAACATAAACTTCAAGTGTTCTTGCATGAACTCCAAGTATTTCTGCACAAATTCCAAGTGCCTTTGTACAGATCCAAGTGTCTAAATACAAGCCTCAAGTGTTTCAAACACAAATAACAAATAATATAAATAATATTTTCAGTTACCTCTATACAGTCTCCACTACCCTAAACACAATATCATTTAATGTTTTTTGAACCTTTACTGTTCTAAGTATAATGATATCTAATGTTGTTTGAACTTCTATTACTCTAAGTATAGTATCAAGTAATGTTGTTCAAATCTTCACTATCTCTGCTAAGTAAAAAGATATATAAAGAGTATCTTTCTTTCTTCTTTACTAATTTAAAGTTTTTATACTTCAACTCAAATATAATGATCTTTTAATTATAAAGTGTAATATTTCTTCTTTAGAGTAATTCCTACAGGCAAGATTATCACTATGTGTGTTGTTAATAAAAAGTTAATCTATATACTGTTACTATCTTAAACTGTTTGCCTGCTGCTATGTAATAAAGTAAACTACTATATTTCTATTTTGTATATATTTGCAATAATCAATTACTGTACTAGGTAATCTTGTTACTTGATTGTATTGTACCAAAAAGGCTGCAACCCTGTAACAATATTATTCTGTAAAGAGTGATATACAAGATTTGTTTGTTTAGTTATATAATATAATAATTGTTTAATTAAATAGTAATACATATATATAGTAAATATAATATAATTTGTAATTATATCAGCTAAATTGTAAAATTTAATAAATAAAAAAACTAATCTGTCATAGTTCTGATCAAATTTGCAGATCATTGTGTCAAATTTAAAGTTAAACAAATTCAAACTTAGTTAAATAATCTGCAAATTTAATTAAAGCTAAAACAGATTAGTTTCTTTATTTATTAAATTTTACAAATCAGCTAATATATTTAATACTTAGTTTAGACATACAATGCTATGCATTTATCTAGTTGAATATTTAACTTTATTATAAATAATAATACAAATTCTTATATAAATATAATTTTATATACAACTCTTCCTAACGATCCTTTATACCAACTTTTTTCCAAAAGTCTGACCTATGAAAACTATATAGTTATTATATTTAAATATAACAAAACTCTACTTTGG